TATAGTGGTGTAGTGGTCAATATATACTTCTATATTGTAGGAGTAGAACCCTGCCAAGATTGCTCCTCCAGGTCATCCATCATCTCCTCCGTGGGCCGAGGAACATCATCGGCACCCAGGAAGACGTCCTCGCCAGCCAGCTGCATCTCGGCATTTGGCTCCTGAGATTGATGGCAGCAGAATATAGTACAAAGTCGCAGTAGCATGCGAAGGTAGAAGTAGCATAGCAGTAGTAGTAGTAGTAGTAGTAGTATAGTATAGTAGTACTGTTGATGATATAAATCCTGCATTACCCATTATAATTAATATACCATAATTCCCATAGTCTAGGGCCATTAAAGTAATGCAGGATTTATATCATCAACCGTAGTAGTAGTAGTAGTAGTAGTAGTATAGTATAGTATAGTATATTATAGTATAGTATAGTATAGTATAGTATAATATAGTATATAGTATAGTATAGTATAGTATAGTATAGTATAGTATAGTATATAGTATATAGTATATAGTATAGTATAGTATAGTATAGTATAGTATAGTAGTAGTACTATAGTAGTAGTAGTAGTAGTAGTAGTAGTAGTAGTAGTAGTAGTAGTAGTAGTAGTAGTAGTAGTAGTATAGTAGTAGTAGTAGTAGTAGTAGTAGTAGTAGTAGTAGTAGTAGTAGTAGTAGTAGTAGTAGTGGAAGTAGTATAGTAGTAATATATATATATATATATATATATATATATATATATTAGCTGGTAGCATTATAATAGCCATAGCAGTAGCAGTATAGCACTATTGTCGTAGCTTTTTTTGTAGCTATATATAGTAGTAGCTACAGTAGTAGTAGTAGTAGTAGTAGTAGTAGCAGTAGCAGTAGTAGTAGTAGTAGTAGTAGTAGTAGTAGTAGTAGTAGTAGTAGTAGTATTGCTACATTAAATATATAGTAGTATATTCTGTAGTATAAAGTATATATATCGCATGCAGTGTATATAGATGTATAGTCTACATATACATAGCAGAATAGCATATATATATATATAGCATGGTTAGTATTGATAAAAGCGATATGTGTGATAATAGGTGTAGCTCATATTGCATGCCTGCGGATCATCGACCTCCAGCACGATCCATCGGCCATAAATCATGACCCATATCACAGGCCACACTCCTTGGCTTAGTGCTCAAGGGTTGAGGCGGTCGGGACGAGAGTTCAGGTTTAAGGGTTAAGGGTGAAGGCCAAGCAGACGAGCCACCAGTGTAGTTTCGATACATCATCGTGCGAAGCACCCAGTTGGCATACTCGGATATGCAGCAGGAATCAGTCAAGACCGGGGTGTTATGCGTGGAGCGGATGGGGGTTTTATCGTAGGGATACATGCACGTCGAGTGCTGGATGTTGCATTTGAGGTTTTACTGATTGCATCTATACAGTGCGAAGCCAAGTCACAAGCATCCCAGGATCAATCAGATCATCGAGCTGAATATCTTCTGCAGTGCCTGAGCAAGACTATTGTGAGCTTCAGGGGTGATCGAGGGCGAACCAGCTTCGGTATCACAGGGCAACCCCAACAAGCCTGCACGAATCGCGTAGCCCTCGTTTCCATGACCATGGCTTCTGGTGGACATGTGGCTAGCCTAGGCGTATAGCAAGCAGAGCAGTTTTTAGTGGAACTATACAGTCGTCGGTTGAGTAGTAAGAGCAGAATGAGTCTAGGATTGTAGGGGGATTCCTGGGTAATGTTATAACTACAAAATCCACTGCTTGTGCTGATGCTAGTGCTGCTGATGCACTATGCTATTTCGGATCCCTCTCTGCAATTGAAATCCACCGGGTTCAAAGATTGAGCCCTTTCAGGATCCGGACCTATACAGACGGCCGGTTCGTGTTGGAACGACATGATCATGAACCCTCATGGTAGCTTTGCACTCACATCGCGAACAGCTCGGCGTGATTTTTTGTTTGCCGTACCCCAGGCTGAGCAAGGTGTCAGTGCATGCTAGGCTGTCGGGAGGAAGCCTCGATCGCTGTGCATTGGGTGTTGTGGGATTACAAGTGCCCGAAGCTTGCCAGCCAGAGCCAGCTAGAGGGTTTGTGGTTACGGGTGTGCCTACTATCGGCTAGTTCGAGTCTTTTTCTAAACCGAGAATATCTTCCCGACCCGACACTATACACTAGCTGCCGAGGCTGCGTGTCATCAGACATACCTCCGCTTTTTGGCTTCTTGCCAGGTGAACAGCTTCAGGACCTCCGATCGTTCTTCGGAGTCTTTCCAGAGCTCCTCCTTTTCGTGCTGCTTGAGACTTTTGTCGCACCTTGCAATCATATATTGGATGCAAACGAACAGCACTCGAGCCGCACCAATAAGGAATGTGCAAGCCGTGTGGCTGGGCGAGAAACCTCTTTTTCTCCGTGCCGTAAGCCGTGTCGTTCCTCTTCACCGGCGTCTTGGCTTCCGTCCACGTGTCCTCGGGCATCTTGGAAGCTTCGGTTGCTGTTGCTGCTTCTGCTGCTGCCTGCTTGGCTGCTGCATGTTTGGCTGCTGGTGCAGGTGTCTTGCAAGTCGAAGCCAACTTGGCTGCTTTGTTGCTTGCAACTAACAGCCGCTGCCGGTGCGGATTGACAGCTGTGTGCTTGCCGCCTAAGCAGCATGAGAAGGCTAGTTGTGTCTCCGGAGCCAATCCCTCCAAAGACAAATACTTTTCGTCGAGATGGAACTCCTGAGCTACATATCCCTCTTTTCGCAGCAGCTGAATATTGATTTTTGTCCAAGCTGCCGGGGGACCATCTGTCGTCCTCTCTCGCTCATTGACCTTGCAAAGACTGCGACACCACAATAAACATGCATGTGTGTGTCCACATGATGTGTGCGTGTGTGTGTGTGTGCCATGCATGTATATATATATATATATATATATATATCAACGTGAAAGTATATATGTATATATATATATGTACACGTGCACACATGTGCACGGGTTTCTATGTGTGTACATGCACATGTATGTGTGTATATACATAGATACATATTTCTATATATATATGTATATCTGTAAGTATGATCATCATATGCTTACCAGCATTGTACATGCTTTAATTGCACGTATACCTACACAACATGTGACCCACTGGTGACACGGCTTGGCCCGGCCTTTGGCTTGTTCCAATACTGCAGCTCATCTTCCTGAGAAGGGATTCATGGGGCTCTATAGGGCTATAGGGTTTGGGGAAAAGAATCGACATCTCGGTCGGGCGAGTTGCGACCCAGGCAATGTGGGCCTGGCCATCCTTTGCCCTCTGCTCCGCAATCTCACCCATCTGCGTGCAATACATGGGTGCATGGGCTCGTGAAGTTAGGAAATGCATGGTGATCACAGAAAGCACAACATGCATGTGTACACACATGTATGCATGCAATGTAAATTATATATATATATATATATATATATATATATATGTATATACATATAAAGTGTTTTGTGAGTATATGTATATAACTAAATAAGTAAGAGTTAACACATATATCTATGTACAAATATATTTATTGATTTTCTTTATATGTGTGTGCCTTATACATCGAGCGGCTCGCTGGAAATCATCTCCCAAATCTTGAATGTCTTTCAGCAGGGCCTTTGCCGTTGCATCATCCTTTTCAGCGGCGGCCTCGGTTTGGTAGCACACGAACATTTGTAGGGTGTTGGGTTTACAAAGGATTATAGGGCTACAGGGTTTAGGTCGCCTCGATTTGGGATCATAGGAACAATCGTAGGGTGTTGGGTTTACAATTACACGGTTTAAGGGTTCATGGGGTTTAGGGTTTGGGTTTTCGGGAGGATCCCACCTCGTCCCAGCCCGACAAAGCTTCAGCTTGGTTCCACCATGCGGCCTGGCAAGGGGGCATGCATGTGTGAAATTGTCGGTCGGCGACAATCCCATCGATCCACCTCGCATGGCTCTTCCTTCACGGATCCGCTGCCCTCGGCACAGTACGATTGGCTCTTATACGGATTCTAGTGCACAACCTTTACAGACAGCAAGCCTTACCATCATCGGCCGGCCAGGCTTCCTTCTCCTGTTTGGCGAACGGGAAGACAGTGGCAAGATTGCGAGTGTCACGAGAAACAACGAAGTTTAGTTTAGGCTTATGGGTGTAAGGGTTTAGGGGTTGAGGTTGCAAGCCTCGACATCCCAGCATTCCTGGGCGTCTTCGATCTGTGGCTCATTGCCCTCGGCCAACATGGCGAGTTTATTTGTTGTCTAATCGAAGCAAGGAAGCATCACAATCGACGACAGAGGCAAGCCTTCTGGATCCGGCAATCGAGGTCGTCGATCTTTGGCTCGCTGCCCGGGTCCTCGGGGAAACACAAGTAACAATAAAGCTTCAGCTTGCTCCTCTGCCCACCATTCCGCCTGGTGGTCTTCGATCTTTGGCTCTTTACCCGGGTCCTCGGAATTATTATTGCGGGAAACACAAGTAACAATAAAGCTTCAGCTTGCTCCTCTGCCCACCATTCGTCCTGGTGGTCTTCGATCTTTGGCTCACCCGGCTCCTCGGAATTATTATTGTGGGAAACACAAGTAACAATAAAGCTTCAGCTTGCTCCTCTGCCCACCATTCGTCCTGGTGGTCTTCGATCTTTGGCTCACCCGGCTCCTCGGAATTATTATTGTGGGAAAGACAAGTAACAATGAAGCTTCAGCTTGCTCCTCTGCCCACCTTCCTCCTGGTGGCCTTCGATCTTTGGCTCCTTGCCCGGGTACTCGGAATTATTATTGTGGGGTACACAAGCAACAATGAAGCTTCACAGCAAGCCTCCTCAGCCCAGCATTCCTCCTCGGGGTCTTCGATCTTTGGCTCCTTGTCGTCCTCGGGTGATATACTAGAAACAACGAAGCTTGGCAACATCATCAATAACAACCTCACTTGCAAGCCTCCTCCCAGCATTCCTCATGGTCTTCGATCTTCTCTGACTCGTTGTCCTTGGCCAACTTAGAAGAAACAACGAAGCTGCAGAAGAACACCACCACCACCAGCAACAACAACACTAACACCAACACACCAACACTTCCAAGCCTCCTCCCAGCTTTCCTGCTGGTCTTCCCTCTTTGGCTTGTCGCCCTCGACCCTCTCCTTAGCATCACGGTTGAAACGTGTATTTGGAATCCACACAAGCGACAACAATTGGATGCATACGAAATTCATCATCTGGCCACTCTGCTTCGCCAATGCCATACCCCTGAGTGCGAGATCATAGGCTCAGAACTACAACCGTCAATCTGCATTAATGATCGATGCGTATCCAAGGGTCTGCATCTTCTTCCGTCCATTCATTTCTCTTTCCATTGTCCTGTGCGAACCGAAAGAAGCAACGAGTTTACTTAAGGTTTAATTTTCAGGTTTTGGGGTTTAGGGTTTAGTTTTTGTTTAAGCAAAAGGCTTTGGTAAAGCATCAGTGTCCTCCACCGGATCCTCGGCCCCATTTCCACTCGCCTCAAATCACGATCTCGTCAATAATTTAGAGAAAGCACCCCAACAAAACCCCCCACCAGCCTCATCCTTCGCCCACTCCGAAGGGCACTTCGGATCCTCACCATGGGGCACCCAAATCCCCGCACCACAGCTTAAGCTATATACATGAATCAAGCGAGAAGCGAAACGGATGTTGTCCTCCACCGGATCCTCGGCCCCATTTCCAGTCGCCTCAAATCACGATCTCGTCAATAATTTAGAGAAAGCACCTCAACAAAACAAACGACCCCACCAGCCTCATCCTTAATCGCCCACTCCGAAGGGCACTTCGGATCCTCACCATGGGGCACCCAAATCCCCGCACCACAGCTTAAGCTATACACATGAATCAAGCGAGAAGCGAAACGGATCTTGTCGTGCTGGGCATCCTTCGGTGCCTGTGGCCGACATGAATGTATATATATATATATATCTACATACGAGGTAGAATGGTATATAGTTCTAACTCAGACCCAACCTCGGCACCAGCACTTTCCTCAAGGACTTGGGCAAGGTGTGCCTGGCAACAGTATATATATATATATATACACATCGACTGTTTCTTAGTGAATACAGTACGGTTTCGGGTTTAATGTTCAGGGTTATGCATATCTGCAGGGCGAAGAAAACCGATCCCTGCACTGCCGATCCGGATTGGCCTCCTCCTCCGGGGTCCAACCATTGCCGCGATCATGGCCATCATCAGCCAGGGCCTGCGAGTCATCGGCTTTAGAAACAATTATAATCGGCAAACTCACAATGCTCCCAACGATCCCTGGTGATCACAATGGTTCCTGGTCGCTCGAAGAGATCGACATTCACTTCCCACACCCCCAGCCACACCAGCATCAAACTGAGAAGCACTGGGACCCTGTGGTAGAGAACCTGGTTGACCATCATTATTGACTGGACGACTTGTAGCACCCTGCGCGTACTGCATGCTATTCTGAAAAGGACCCTCCTGCTCGCGATTGTGTTCCGAAAGTCCAGGTGGATTGCCTCCGGGAACAAATTTCCTATCCGCTGAAGACGACCTTCTCACCGATCCCAGCCGAAACGATAAACCACCTTCATCCCTTCGACCTCCTTCAGCAGGCTGCCCTCCCACATCACTAGCACGTCCCGGTAGTCCCAAAGGATTGCCGCCAGGTAGTGTATGATCGTGGCCATCAACCTGCCCTCCTGACCCTCCGAAGCGTCCTAGTAGCTCTGAAAGATGCCCTCGTGGTTCACTAAGACTCCTCGATCGATCAACTCGTCCGCGCCCATCATCGCCTCCACCTCGATGAGAGGGAATTCCTCGCGGTACCCTATGCGACCCCAGATCAGCTTGTAGCCTCTGTTCGTCATTCTGCTCCCGAGGTCCCCTTCCACCCTCTAGTGGTTCCGGTGCTTGGGCTCGCGGCCCCTGCTCACCCTCCAGCTCGCGATTGTGTCCAGAAAGTCCAGGTGGATTGCCTTCGGGTCCGCCTCCTTCTCGCACACCTCCACTCGCGGCCGTAGGTAGCTGCAACATTCGCTGCTGCCGACCATTTCCTTCAGCTTCTCTAGCCTGAGCCCTCACAGCCTCTAGCTCTGCTCGAAGCCTCCGGTTCTCATCAGACAAACCCTGTTGTCCCTGCATCGCCCGTTCAACTTGTCGTCGTACTTCTTGCTCCATCTGCTCCCGGGTATACGACGATGTAGAGTCCGAGCCCCCATTTCTCGGTGCTGTAGCACCATACAACTGAGGCGCCGCCAATGTCATTTCTCGCAAACGCCTGGCCTGCGTGTTGTCAAACAAAGGCTGGGACTCCGAGCTGCCCGCTCCAGCTCTTCTCGCTGAACCTCCTGGCGACCAAACCGTCTCCTGCACCACTGTAGTCTCCAGACCAGGCCGGCTCTGTTGAGCCACGCTCCGCTGCACGTAATCTCCCAGCCGTGAAAACCATCTGACAGCCGTTGCCCCATGATGGGCAAACGAAACACCCAGTCCAGCTACTGGCGAGCCAGCCACTTGTCCCGGATCTGTCATTGGTGATGGCAAAGGCGAAGGAAACAAAGCTCCTGGCACCTCTGAAGTTGCTGCCCTTGCTGCAGCCTCTGTGCCCATCGCCGCATGCGGAAGTAGAGGTCGATCACGCTCCACTGGTCCTTCCGATACAGGAGAACGAAAAACATCTGGATTTCCCGCTGTCGCAGCTGCCGTAGCTTCCGCTTCGGTTCCTCGTAAACTTCCAGAAAAGGCTTCTGCGTTAGAGTGATCCGTCGTACCGTGTCCGGTTTCCGCTCGTGTCGCGCCCAATCCGGAGGCCTCCAAGGCTCTAGTATAAGCTGCTTCATCTCCGGCTACACCAGAGACCGGTCTGTCCACTCCATTTAGGAGTGCCGGTCGTTGATCTCCTTGGTCTCGTGACCGCGCAGCATCGCCACTTGGGCTCATCACCTGCTGATAAGCAGAAGGCAAATCAGCATGCGGTGAGCGGGAGTTATCCATCGCACTATCGAAGCTCGCAACAAAGTGTGCCCTACATGTAAGCGCTCGGGCATCACTGTCCTTTTTTCTTGAGCCATGCATCCGTCGTCGGAATTGTACAAGGTGACAACCGCATAAACTCTGCACATCGGAAGATACCTGTGGCCGAAATCTGGAATCTGCACAACCCTAAACCCCTAAACCCCTAAACCCCTAAACCCCTAAACCCTAAACCGGAGGGGAGGAGGGGGGAGGGGGGGGGGGCCGGGGGGGGGGGGCCGCCAGAGGCGGCAGGGCACAAGAGGACGCACTATCCCAAACGACCAGGTAAGCACGAGGCTGAAAATGTTTTTGTCGAGTTCGCAAGAAACAGCAATCTAGACATCTAATAGTCATCACTTGTGACTGCGAGCAGGTAAGGCCGCGGCCGGCAGGATCAAGAGGGAAAACAAAGCTGAGATCCACGAAGGCAGCGGCCCAAGTTCGTTTCATTGAGCTCCCGGTCTTCCATGGTTCCAAGATGTTCCAAGCGAGTTCTAGATTCCAGGTGCGAAAACCCTAGCAACTTCGCAGTGATCGGTGGCGGACACATGCACCTCCCCAAATCCCAAACAAGGCACAGCAACTCGGAACGCCACAATCGGCTCCATTAGAGGACCATATATCCTCTAAGCGGAATGAATGTCAGGAAATCTCCAGGACAGTAAGTGACCGGGCATACTTTGTTCGGCTGGCTTGTGGCGTGGGCCCTTCTCCGCGGTGGTGAGACAGCAAGAACTCCGGCTTGCAGGGACAGGGGGCCTAGGGCTTGTAGAGCTTGACATTGGCTAGATAGTTGGGAACTCTGCCAATGTGGCCTAGTGCAGGTGCGCAGCATGAAAGCGGGCGACTCAGCGCCGTCTTCAACCGCAAGACATTTCTGCGGCGGTGGCACTGTGTGGCTGGACCTCACTCCTGCCGCTCCTTGCACACACGTAAGTGTACATCGGGCAGATTACCATCTCCGGTCCAGCAGAGCCAGTGCCAGCTTGAACAGTGCCCCCTTTCTCGTGTTTCTAGAGCTGAGACCCCGAAAACAGCCTGCGCAACACGATAATGATCCCAAGGAACATTTCGCCCCTGATCGCTTCAGCTCGACCAATTGCTTCTCAACTCCTGACCTACCTCCGTCGCTGTTATACACACAGCACAGAAAAAATCACCTACCAACCTACCTGCCACACGTATACCGTAGATCCATGTCACATTTCTACCTAGACACACACGCACGCGATCGCACACCTGTACGCAAAGCGAATCAAAGTCCGACTCCTTCATCCCCAACATCTTCTTCGCTCGCGCCAGGCCTTTGGCCCAATCGTCAGCCTGTCGGTGCAAGTTACAGCAGGGTACCCCCTGCGGCTATCAGCTCAATTGCTTAGGACGTTGTGCTTCGGTTTTCACGACTGGGGGGATGATGTAGTGCCCTAGGCCTGAGGCCTCGCGTCCAGGTGAAGCTGAAGCCGGTTGCGGGTTTCAGTGTGTTGACATCCTGAAGAAGGATATCAATGGTGTCGTGGTCGTTCCCGGCTTTCCGCTTGCTTGCATGATGCTGAGGATCTCTCGTTGTCTTTTCAGCTCATCTGCGGAGGTAAAGACAGCTGGCGGTGCAGTTATGCTCGCAATGATGTGCGACATCACATCATCAACTAAGAAATAATAGACTATGTAAATTCAACTCCCAGACCGGAGGGCGAGGGCCAGGGCCCACCGGAATCAAGGGCAGCGAGAGCACCGCCATGGTCGTCGCCATCCTCTCACGGTGCCGGGCCGTTCCAGCTCCAAGGAGAGTGTGTGAGCTTCTGGTGTTTCGGACTTTTGTGGGGAATGGCCTGGGGCCTGGGCCGTGCTTGAGAGGCGCTTGGCTGCAGTTTCATTACTCTGTCGTTGGTCGCGCAATAAGATTCTCATGTTTTTCCGAAGCACTGAAGTGTGCAAGGGCGAGCACCTTGTTGGGGCTTTCTCGGGTGCTGCTTCCTATGTAGACGCACCTTGCACTGCAGTTTGACCTAGGAAACGGGACTGAGAGGGGACAAGGAGGAAATGCCAGTAGGCCCCTGGCATGCCGCCCCGCTTGGCCAGCTTCACCAAGTCCAGGCCACTCTCACCAACATCACGAAGCATGCCTGGCTGCCGTGACTGGACGTCTGCGAGGCAGTACCTCTCGCACACTGCGTGGAACTCCAAGCCGGCCACACTTCCCATGGCAATCGACATGCAGGCAGCGGGCTGTATGGCCAGCGTAGAAGCCTGAGCCATCCACAGCTCCGCTGCCACCACGGGCAACCTACCAATTGCAGCCTTTTTCTCCGTGAGAGTTCGAAGATGCCTGTGGAACAGAATCTTGTCTGGCGAGGCTCTGTGCATCTTCGCTGACATCCTGCTTGAAAACCAACTCTAGATAGATCGGAATGCAGGATTTCAAGCTCTGTACAAACCTGCACCGGGGCTGCTTGAAAAAGGTTGAAACCTTAAACCAACATCACCACGTGAATTATGCGGCTTTTGCGGTGCTGGGCTGGATCAGGACAGGTGTGTGGGTTTGGTAGTTGCAGATATTACCCACGAGGTTGTACAAGGACACGGCATCTTCGCGGCTGGGCTGCGTGTTACCGTGCTCCGTCATGGCACGAGACGCCACCTGGGGCTTTTCGGGGCTGAAGAGCTCTCAGGATCAGGACTGAAGCTAGGTCTAGGATGTAGGGCAAGTCTGCCATGCGTAGGGAGAAATTCCACACTGCAGTGCCAGTACTACTGGACTATGGGCCCACATGCTGCCAGAATCTTCAATCTTAACCTCCTTGAGCTCAGCCCGGCAAACGGGCCTGGAGGGTAAGGGGCTGCCCTTTGGCAAGCTGGCCCTTCATGTCCTCGGTGAGAGGCACCTTCTTGGACCACCAGTACCTGTGAGAGTAGGGTCAGGTGAAGGAATGGTGCCCCGAAGCCTAAATCCCATTACAGACAGATTCACATGTCAGGCTCAAGGGGCCACGACCAATGATAGTTCCTTCTGTGGACCTTCTCCATGCCATGGTCGTCCAAATCAGCCGGCACGTAGGTCTTACCTGGAGGCCGGCCCGGGAGCAGTATATACTATACTCTACTGTGCTACAATATACCTTACTTTACTATACTACACCATTATATATATATATATATATATATATATATTTATTTATTTATTTATTTATTTATTTCTGTATATATATATATATATATATATATAGTATATTTCAGTGTATGGGTCACCGAAGCCCCGAAGCCGCGCACTGCCCTGCACCTCCGTCAATGGAGACATCCACGCGGGCGATGCGGTGGCCGCCGCCACCCAAGGCAATGCCGCGAACCTGTTGCAGTTCGTTCTACACTCTACTATAGTTGTAGTACAGTATAGTATGCAGCTCGGATCTCCAAACCCTGACAACAAAAACTCAAGTCTCAATTTCGTAGTCCCGCGTGTTCAGTGCTGGTGGCTTCGCTTGGCCGACCTCGATGCCATCAGCTGCGACCTTCGATGCCTCCTGCCCGGACCTGAGCCATGTTGCACTCGGATTCAAACTTCCGTCGCGACGGGCCTGGTTTGATCTCCCGAATTCAGGGTTCGGCTTCGGCCTTCGCGACTTGGCCAATAGCATGCTTCGCGCGCTGCAGCACGAACAGTTTAGCAAGACGAGGCATGTTCCGGTCAGCCTATCCACCCATTGACAGGCCCCCATAGCGAGTTACGAGCGAACCCAGGTTGACCCAGGACCAGCGAAGCCAACACTCGCTGCAAGCGCTCAGGCCCAGGGGCAGGGTCGTGTTCACCTCCGGGAGGATAACACTGCTGTGGACGGGCATTTCCTCAGCTATGGCCAACTGAGGAGGAGTTGGGCTGGGCTAAAGCTAAAGGAGGCTTTCGCCGAGTCTCCATGACTCTGAAGATGTCGTTGTCCTGCTGCACCTCCCATCTACCGGCCCTTTGGACCGTGCCGCCTGTCAGCGAAGTCTTGGCGAGATGGTCCTCAAACGTCATGTTTGGAGGATAAATCACCTCATCGGTGTGCGTGTCGACGTGGCTTTCGTGCAGCTCGTCGGCCAACTCCATCTTCGCCAGCCACTTGCAGTTTCGCACGCCTGCATAACCCGGCACAAGCACCCGAACAGGGTAGCCGTGGTCGGGAGGGAGCGGCTCGCCATTCATGGTCATAGCGAGAATTACATCGCCAAAGGGATCGATCGCCTTTTCTAACGGGATCGTGACACCAAAGCTGGAGCCTGTCTCATCTGCATCATGGCCGGTGAGTCGCAGATACTTTGCAGGGAGCGGCTTTGTGCCCAGGGCGATGGCATCAACATCGACCCCACACATACGCAGCACGTCTCGGCACTTGACGCCCGTCCAGACAGCATGGCTGCCCCAAAAGTTGTTGTTGATTTCATTTCTTGGGAAAGCCTCCTTTTCCCATGTCTCTCTGTTGTCAGTACGATGCAGGTATCTTGGATAGAGTGCAGCCCCGCCACAAATCATTGTAGCTTCCACTGCGTTCTGCTGCATTGATCGTAGGTCCTTGAGTCTGAAGACCTTGCCATCCTTGCCTGGAACGCTGACCTCAAACTCATACTCCTCTTCGACATCCTCCCAGCTTGGCACTGGGAAATGATTCCTCACATAGAATCCAGACAAGGGAGTTCTGAAGGAGTCGAGCAGATACTTGCCCATGAGGTTGGCCCAGCGGGGAGCTGTCGCAATCGTTTGCTGCAGCTTCCTCGGCGGCTCGTTCTCATAAGGATTTGCAAAAATCGTCTCGTCGTAGGACCTCTTGGCGTCCTTCGGTGTCAGGCGGCCCACCAGGCAAGTCCTGTCAAGGAACTTGCTGACGTCCGGGTGTACATGATAAACGTCGAAATACTTTTGGAGGTCGCTTCCAGCCGCCATCTGAATCCTTCCTGGGCCGCCAGGATGGATCTTGGCGAAGTTGGTAATGTCGTACACGTGCCCATGGTACGAAATCCATAAACCTTCCTCCAAGTTATTGTGGCTTCTGAGCTCCTTCAGGCTTATGACTCGGAGCTCCCCGTCCTTTGGTACTTCTTGGTTTGTGGCCACTGGAGCTCCCAGCGTCTGGCGGTGAGCGACCTCACAGCCACAGGAGCCCTTTGCCACGCCGGCCAGAAGGCCCGCTCCTGCGATCCCAGCCGCATACGCCCAGGCCGGTCTCGGAGCCCTGCCTGGCTCCGGTGCCCTCGCGGCTTGGCAGGCGCGCTGCAGTGCTGGTGCCAGCCGGACGAAGGAGCGCATGGCTGGATCAAGTACTGTGAACTTTGAAAAGCCTCTTGAGAGAGCGAGTGGGAGCCAGAGCGTGACACGAGGGCGAAGCATTCTGCGAGGACTGAGGCGGGCACAACCAGAAAATACGAGAAAGGCATTCCAATCATGGCAGTTGCGTAGTTCACAAACCTGGCGGTCTGCAGAGCCGGTCCCTTCCTCACACAAGGCAAGCAAACACACCCGGGCGTGTGCAGACAAGCAGCTGCACACCGTGAGGGTCTGAACTTTTGGGCGTTTCACGTCACGAAACTTGATCCGACATCTCCCAAGCACGAATTGCAGGCAGGCGGGCCAATTGGGGAACAGCGGCGACACGCGCAGGAAGAACATGTACCGAAACCTCGGCAGTCCCGAGACCATTTGAAGCCTTTGCTGCCACGTCTGCAGAGTCGCCGGGTCGGGGCTTCAATCACCAGAGAAATCTGTCCTAGTCCACAGTCCTTGGCGGCCAGCATGGAGCCCTGGAACTTGTCCATCTCCTGAAGCTTTCAAGGCTCCGAGCTGTTGTTGGGAGCCAAACGGCAGGACCTGCTTCTTGGAAGTTGCAGGAGCCTCTAACTTCGTTCTTCCGACTGGTAGCTTCTCCAAGCCCCTCTTGCATGTCTGTGAACCCGGCATCGCTTGCCGGTCTTGCCACTCTTCGGAAGTATACAGGGTAACAGACATGTAGTTCACTTCTGGTGACGACAAGTAACTAGTAGTTAAAGACAGAATCAGCCCTGTCCTGCTTCAATGTCGCCATCTTCTCGGCGGCAAACTGGCAGCAAAGCCACGCTGCATGTGACCCAGTTAGTTTTGTGACAAGTTTGACATGAGCCTTGCAGGCGTGCACGCAACCCGCAACAACACATCGAGCTTGGCCAAAGCCAAGCCGTCATCACCAAACGGCTGGCAGCGCGTGCAAGAGGATCTCTCGACCGATGCAGTACGACCTGAGAGCAACCGTAACAGCTTCCGGTAAGTTCAGGGGTCTGAGGTTTTAGCATTCAGTTCAGGACTCCCAGGACGTATGGAATAAGGTGGAGTCTATAGTAAGGTTGCAGGCCTTCACTTGCGCTGCACATATTCTCGGTCCGTAAATCAAGGGTCTCAACGTGAGACTCATACGAATCTTCCGGCTGAGCCAGACGGCATGATCCAGCCGCCAGCTCCACCACAAACCTCACAAGAAGGTCTGGCCCACCCACAGCCCCCCCCCGGCCCCTCGCCCAGCACAGCCACAACCTAGTTTAAACCGGAGAAAATTCCGGAATCTAAACTACGAGTAGGGGTCGCTCCACCCCCGCCTCGCCACTCACGCCCAGGAGGTGCGCGAGAGCAGAGTACTGCCTGCGGCGGTCAGCTCGAAATCGGAGGCAGAACGCCGAGTGGTACAGGTACAGGTACCAGTAGGGCTCAGCAGGGTCAGGCTTCCAAGCCTTGCCCTCTCCATGAGATATGCTCCCAACTCCCCCTTCCTCACTTCAGGATACTATCCGATGGCATGTTGGAAAGCTAGGTTCGCGACGTGTTCGGTTCGGCCCATTCATCGTAGAGCGCACCGATCAGTACCTGTCGGCGGCCAGGTGGGCCAGGATTACTGGCAGAGCTACTCGGCCATTTCTGCTTCGGCATATACTGGTACCCAAATCGCTCGAGGTTTCTCGTGACGTTGCTAGCTGCTGCGGGAACCCTCCCACGTTGAAGAACCAGTCCCTGGACCCCGAAGAATAAGAAACCGCCCAGAATGTCTCAAGCCTGAAACCAAAGCTCGAGCTCAAAAATCCTTTGACACCCTGGAGGCTCTAAGCCCGAAAGGCCCCACCCTGAAGAGCCGTTGCGCACTGAGAGCACCATTGAGGTGCCGGCACCGAAAGGCCCAAAGATCTTGAAGATCACCTCGAAATCGTCGTACATTGATGTAGTTCTCGCGTCGCCGCTTAGCAAGAGCTGGGCCCGCAGCGTACATTCCCCAAATGCCAGCTGTAGTGTGCCACCTGGGACAGTGTTCAAATCTATCCTGCCACCTATCCACCAGCCAACAGTCTCTCCTGTAGCTTCGGGGCTGTTTGACCTGTCCGTGCGTGCTTGTCGGGGCTTGGACAGTCTAGATGTCTGTGTACACCGGGACTCTCTGCCAAGCAATGCCATGTTTCACCCGCCAAGTGGCCAATTGTCCTTCTTGTACTCCCTCAAACCTGGCCGAAGCCAGCCCGGTCCGACAAGCTCAGCAACCCCGACTTTAGAACAGATTCCCCCTGTCCCTGCTTTCCCCATCATTCGGTCAGAGCAAAAAGCCAGAGGCACAGGTCCACAGGTCCAAGATGGACTTCTGCGGTTCCCGGACCTCGTGAGGTGACCCCACATCACTGAAGTTACTCCGTACCCTCTCTTGGCAAGCACAACAGTTTCTGCAGTCGAGCGCTGCCTTTGGCAAGCCTTCGGCGACTGGCTTTGCAGTCAAGTCAATGCGCCAAACTCATCGCGAGGATGTAGCATTTGCGAAGACGTGTAGCTAGGGCCGCAGCTAAAGACCCAGCCTGTGAACTCCTTGGCATGTAGGCACACGGCCATCTGCCCAGCCAGCCACACTGCAAGTGGCTGCCACTCACCACCAGTCGATGGCGCTGTCACGGTCCAGCTTTAGTCTGGCCTTTGCTTGGATTTCACCGCTTTCCGAGGTGTCGGTTCAAGACACCCAAACACCACCAGGACATTGACGTCTGTGTCTACGTCGCCCGCTCAGCAGACGTCTCACAGCCTCCATGCATGATCTCGTGGAGGTTTTGTAGCCACCGCCATGTCGCACCACATGCCTGCAGCAGCCAGAAATGACGAAGCGACACGGCCAACTTGAGTGCAGCTGGCGCGGCTCCAGAGGACAAGCTTAGTGGCTCATCTCAGTCCGGCACGCTGGGGAGCGCCAGGGCTCATCGCTCATCGCTCGTTCGGGCATCGAGCTGAGACCTGACGGCAAAACGCAAAACAAAAACATCTTCAGATCTCGGCGGATCTTCCGCCTTCGACTCGAAGACGTTCATCAAGCTCTCGTAGAGACCTCAGCTTCGAGCCGAGACGACCCGAGACCCCGAGGCCCGGCCTTCAGACCTTCCGAGCGCGGGGCTGGTGTCCTCCTTCTCAAATGAAGCAAACCTCTCGCTCTCGGCTTCACCTGCGATACTGCACCATCCATGAGCGGCAGCCACTTCGGTTCTGGCTTGAGCACGCTCTCTCTCTCTCTCTCTTTGCTTTGCTTTGCTCGGGGTTTGAGACGGGAGCAGTCCCCCCGTCCCGCGCGAGTGCGCTACCCCATCCATCATTTGGAAAGGATGGGCTCGGTCTATACAAGACTGACTTACATAGCAAAGGGTGCTCCGAAACTGTGTTCCCCGTATGGGGTGTTTGTTTGCTCGCACCGGCACTGTTAAGAATCTGGTATGTAAAAGGCTGTGTGTACGAGGGGAAAAACGTGCTTGAATTAACGGCCATGCAAGTCTTATGCAAGCTGTTGGCACACCATTCTAGGGTTCATGGAAATGAGCGGGTGCCCCTCAACACAAATTAAAAGGTAAGTTAGGTGGCTTCAGAGTGTCGCGTTCACTTTTTCCACCGGTGGCAGAGGTGTTGTTCACGGATCCGGGTGTCCCCGGCGAGTTGCATGGGTGTACATCAGACATATGTCCCAAAACTTGTAGCCACTGGTGCCTCGCCTTTGTAGTCGGCGCTCACTTCTCTCACCTGTGCCTTCGAGGTGCTGCAGCTGTGTCGTCGTCCTTTGGTCCTGGGTCGTCGTTGGCACTTGGTGTCCTGTGCCTCCGCGGTGCTGCAGCTGTGTCTGGGTCGTCGTCGGCCACGGGTGTCCTTTGCCTTCTCGGTGTCCCTGCCACTATCACGTTCATGCCGGGCTTCGTGTCCCCCGTCCAGTCTAGTCCCTCTTTAGCGTCTGGTTGAGGTCGCCTGCGAGGGAGAGGTGGTCGAGCAGCTTGATCTCGCTGTTGCCCTTTTGAACGATGTGGTTCTCCCCCTGGTGTCGCGTCTTCACTCTGAGTTCCTCCATCAAGTGGCATGTTGCCCCTCCCTACTACCGGGCCACCTCCGGAGAGGGCCGGTTTCAGGAGAGGTCTTCGCGACCCTTTGGGCACTTGAGAGCCCGACATGTTACGGCGAAAGGCCTCAAGCCACCCCCCGCCCTCGGCACGTCCACCCCCCAAGCCCACAGAGATAACCCTCTGTGGTCTCGAGGGGCCGGCCGAAAAGCGACCCGCTCCGAGGAGCAGGCAGGCGAGCGACTTGAGCCAAAATGGCTACGGCTCTCTCTCTCTCTCTCCTGGGCTTGAGGGCCGGTCAAGGCCCCCGGGCTTCAAGCCCACCCGATCTTTTATCGGGACGAGAGGCGGGACAAACGAGTGTAGGCTCGGCTAAAGGCTATAGCCATAAAGTCTACAATAGCGAAGACAACCAGCCGTACACTCTCTTTTGACACATGCAAACTGAGGATATCCCCCGGCTCTTTCTCTCTCTCTCTCTCTCTCTCTTTTTCCGCAGGCCTGAGGGCGAGCCCTCTCTCTCTCTCTCTCTCTCGGAAATTGTTGGCGCAGTCCGAGGTCGCATGTCAACGCGATTCCAAAGCTCATGCAGCTGTTGAACCTCGGCTGCTCATCTGGTGGCCTTTGGGTCGGCTGCCTGGCGGAAGGAATCCCAGTGCCGGCATGGGCCGGCGGCTTCTGGGGCTCAGGAGATCCGGGTTGCTTTGAGATCTTTGGCCCAGTGTGGGGGCCCGCATAGAACACGTCCTGATTTGAGAGGACTTGGGATCCAGAGCCCCCAAGCCTCCCTCGGAGCGGCTCGGCGGTTGGAACTGGCCTCCACCTCCTCGAGAGGACTCTGAAGAGATCTTTAGGACTAGACTAGGCCTTTGCAGACCTTTCTGCATGGTAGTACAAGCGGTTGGCCCTACACCTCAGAAGCTGTGATTTCGTCCTCGGCCCAGGCCATCAGCCGGCGTCAAGAATTGCGGCCTCACCGAAGCACAACTTGCCAACACAACCGGTCATCACCACACGTCAGCTCCTGAAGGACAGAGACGAAAGGTATATGCGGTGCAGTCCTAATAAACCGTGGGCCCAAGCTCGGACGCCCCGTCACGAACAAGCGCCACATCCAGTCAATCTTCTCAGACTGAGCTGAAAACGATGACGGCGAAGAAAGTGGTGACAAGCCCATCATCCTGAGAAACACAGCATAACTCATTCAACTTCACTGTCAGCCGGAGACCACAACTGTATCTTCAGCATTTCCAAGGACTCGAATGTCCGGTGTGGTTTTGCTTGTGGCTTATTTGGGCGCTGCTTCTTGCATCCAAGAGTCCGCCGATCGCGGATCTCTCCAAGCACTTCGTCATGCCTCTGAAGCAGTGTTTGCCATGCATTACAGGCTCATAGTGGAGATTGGCAGCTACACACAAATACCCCAGCAACGACTAGAAAACTCCCGTCCGTTGCTCAATCCACTCATGCGAAGCTCCCACATCTCAGCCAGCAACTTTCCAGCAGCCATCTTCTCTTTGGTGTAGGTCCTGCACTGCTTCAAAGTTGCAAGAACGTGACATGTCGTAGGCTCATCACTGCCTCCGATACTCTCAGGCGCTTCCACAGACATAAAAGCGTTCACACACCGTCTGTGTTTCCAAGTTCGACCCAGCCTACATGCCTCATCAAATTATCAAAACCCTCTCTGCCGAACGCTATCGCTGTCGCTTGGAAACATCACGGCAGTAACGACAGACGAGGTGAAATTTGGAGGCGCAGCAGGTGTAACACGACGTGCAGTACGTAGGACCACCTTTTCGTGTCCATGGACATGGCATGGCTTTTGTGTTTATGTTGTGAAATCATCGACAAGCATCTCGACAAAGCGGCATGTGCACCACGACGGTGAGCACGCGAGATTACTCCAACTCGATTTACTTAGGTAAACAGGCTCCGACTTGCTGGTACTTCGAAATATCACGGCTGTGCCCCGTACGTTGGTCTCAATAACTTTGCCGCGCAGTTCTTCGTTGTCCTAGACGAAGCGCAGTTACATTTCTGGGAGTCGAAACACTTCGAACGCAAATGCGTTGCACTGCAAAACATCTACAGCGACAACCCAAACTTCGCACGGGAAACTGCAAGCTTAAGCGGCGGTCTTCCACATGTCGCACTTGGTGCGGATCTGCTTCACCTTGCCTTGGGCTTCTGCCTGCGGAGCTCGTGACTGAGATTGACTGAACATCTTGAACAGGTTCACCATCCCACTTGAAGTGCACGGGCTCTCTGGGGCACAGTTCATTACAAAATCACGTCTGCTTTGGCCAAAGTCTCTGTTTGTTTTGGAGCTTCCAGGCCACCTAGCTATGCGGGGGGTGTGAACATTGCTTCAAGCTCGAACTCCTACACCCTAAACCCTAAGCCGTAGTTGCTATTCCAACCAACTTGCTCATCTGCGAATATGTTGTGTGCCATGTCGCGAAGGTTTGCAGATCGCTTCGCCAACCCGGTTCTAAGGCAGAAGGCTTCGTCCGGGTTTCGGTTTCAAAACCCCCAATACGGAAAAGAACGAACACCTTCCATGCTTCTACAACAAGTGGGTACGAGTACGAGTCATCACGGCTTTGTACTGCACCTACTCTGTCTCTAATCCGAATGAGTCTCCAAGCAAACCCTCGCGAAGCTCCTGAAACCAGAGGTTCCCTAAAGACACGCTGCAGGTAAGACCCCCAAGGACTGCCTTCACCCTCCGCTCGCTTTCCAGCCGAACCTGCCGGGCCTCTAAGAGCCATGCGGAGGAGTTGTGGGGCGTAGGGATGCTTTGGGTCGGACTGGTACACGCAGCGCCTCTCGTTTCGGTTGCAGTCCGCAGAATCTCACGAGTTGGGCGTTGGGGGTTGTGAGTATACTGAGCGGTTTCTCAACGAAGCAACACGTCGTCTCCCAGACGGCAACTTGCTTCAGAGTGTGAGAAACATGTCTTTTTGCTGCAGGCTCAGCAGCAAGCTCGACAGTTCCTACCTTGTTTGGGTTTGAGCTCGCGGCAGAGCGAACGCGAAAAACATACCCGCCATAGGTCTTCATCTTGGGAAGGCGATGCTGCCTTGCAAACTCGGCCATCGCCTGAAACACATCCTGGCGTGTAGCGTCAACAGAAGCCAAGAAGCCCTTGTCGAGGAGAAGCCTCCGCACATCATCATCCTTCGGTGCTGTCCGCCATTGCCCGTCTGAGAGATGCGAGAGAAATGCATGTCGAAGCTTCTCCTCCACTTCTGCAAGGGAGTCCCCGGGGTTGGGCAGCACACCGACCTGCTTGCGCAGTGCGTTCCGATTGTCCGCAACATTTACGAAGACCAACATGGCCTCGAGCACATCGGCATTCATCTCGTCGTCCAAGTATCCCAATTGTGTTAGAGCTTGGAGGACCATACCTTCCGAGTCTTTCAACATGAAAGGGCCTCCACCCAGAAAGAGTCGCCTAGCGAGCTGGGTACCAAACGTGGCAGCTTCCCAATTCTTGCGTTTTACTGGAACTTTGGGAAGCAGGAAGGCCATATCTTCGGTGTACCTCCGCCACCTCTTGCCTCGGCCTAGTACATGTTGCCCGAACTCTTCGATTGCAACTTGCTGAGGGAAGACCGTGGCTGGTCCCAGCTCGTTGGCAAGCCAAAACTTCGCAGTAGAATGGACCAGGTGCTCTCTGTCTCGAGCAACATAGCCCAGGTCACGCAGGAAGGTTTCGGTGTCCTTGAGCATCTCTGAGTTATCATAAGGACAGAACGGGCCATCCAGCTCTACACTTCCACTGCCATCCTGGTGCAGGATAGCTCGGACCTTTGGAGCTGTGGGGGCCCGGCCGTCACGGGGCAAACACCCTTGCACAGGAATTCCGGCGTCCTGATACCGCTCTATAAGCTTTCGGTTATTGGATGGGGTTAGCACTAGGACTTGCTTGCCATTCTCAGCCAGAAACTGACAGACGTCTCGAAAGTCAAAATCAGAGGTTAAGAGTGCTATGCTCCGGTCGGCACAACTCCGAAGCTTATGGGCGATGGCAAGGTCATTAGCTTCGCCGGTTCGGCTTTCTGCGCGTTGGACTGGACGGAAATCGATCCTGGGCCTTCTGAAAAGCTGTTGCCAATATTCATTCGTTTCACGGCCCGGTGGCGCGAAAACAGTTGTGCGCACCATCCTGCCCATTTTCTCCAGCTCGCTGATCGCATTGTCAATGTCGTCTATCTTGTGAGTATCTGCATCCACAAAGAGACGAGTCACCTCTCCAGCAGAATCCTGCGATGCACCACAAGCACGGCATGCTACCCGTCTGCCAGATGTGGGCAACGGCACCTGGGCATTGATGAGCGCTAAAGCAGAAGCCCCAATACTACAGAATAACAAACAGGGTTAGATTCTACTGATATCCCTCAGAGAACGAGGCGTGCGACGAGAGTGATGCAGCCGATCATGGCGACCGGCAGAGGAGCTTGACGCGGCTCACCACCACTTCGAAAGATCTGCGACACATGTCCGTAGCGCCGGTTCGCGCAGGCCTTCCGGAGAGAGATTCCCGGAAGCTTCTGCCCATCTGCCTCCGACGGTACCCAGCTCGCAGCCATGGCGAAAAGACCTATCCGAAACCCAACTATGCTGGACTCACTGTCTACCCGCTCCTCATCATGCGTGCGAGGTGTTCCGTGGCCCTCCTTTGCCAAAATCTTGTGCACATCCTGCCGCCGCCTGCAGGCACCAGAATTTGAACCAAGAAGCTGCGATGCTTGCAGAGTTTCGCGGGGTCGTACACAATGTGAAGCTATGGGCTATGGACATATTGAGACTTGAAGGTTCGTCAAAGAAACCGATTTGGGTCCGCGGCCTCGTAAGCACGTAGCTTCTGCTGAATCGCTGACTCTCGCTGCTCCTCGACGTACTTGAGCCTCCACTGAACATTGGCAAGTGGGGGCTTCGGGTTTGGGGCGGGTGGAAAGACTCCTCCAGGGCCCGACATATAGTAGTTGGATCGCTGGGATTGACGCAGGCTTCTTTTCCAAAAATCGCCAGGCCGGACACTCACCAGCAGCAACAGTAGTTGGTGGTGGTGGTGGTGGCGCTGGTGGAAGGATCTATGGCTGCTTCTTCGTCACAGCAGGCGATCGTTGGGGCAGTGACAGCTACAGCCACCGCACCTCTCAGCCAGCTCCTTGGACTTCGAGGACTTGTCGCTTTTCTGTGCCTCAAAAATTTTGATCTTGGCGAAACGCCCACAGCAGCTGTCTAAACTAAGTCTAATGTGCAGAGCTTCAAAACGTCCTACAGGCAACAGAACATGGCATCACGGTGGGTCCTGACAGTTCCCATCTCTGATGCAGACACCCATAGCATATTCATATCTAGGCAATTACAAGTGGAGCAAGCGAAACAGAAAATGCACAATCCATAGAAAATGACTGACCTGAGAAAGCCAGACCTACACGCATTGTATCTCAGGACAAAGACGACGACTGAAGCTACTCATGTAACCAGCAGTCCAAGGCCCCTTGACTGAGGGAGGAACGCCGAACTCGGACCCTGCAAACTTCCAGGACGACCGCAAAAAAGCATGAACGCGCCGGAAGCCTCCAGGCGTTGCGCCTGCTCTGCACGAAGCCGGGAGATGGCTTGCGCCCGGCGGGCATCCAGGCCGTTCACCTCTTTGCAGAATCTTTTACGCGTTGTTGGAAACCAGGGCCTATAAGTGACTATAGTGACTACAGTTACAATAGTAGTGGATTCAGGGCCGAAGCCGGGTTTCGGGATACCGGACTACACTACTCACTACAAGTAAGCGGCCAGCGCCTTCGCCTCCCGAGCCGTGGCAAAGCCGTCCTGGAGCTCCTTGGCCCGGCTGCTCACCTGGCTTCCAGTGGCGGGTGCAGGAGCCCTACCCTTGTGGCTCCGTTTACAAGGGATGCAGCCTTTGGGCTTTAGGCTCTCTTCATCTCAACGTCTGTGTATCGTTTTCTTGCTGTCAAGATCTGTTCACGGTGCAGTGTTAATGGAGGCAGTGAAAGGTCTGCTCAGGGTTTCAGAGGCATCAATCTCAGTCTCTCGAGTCTTCGGCTGTCTGGCAAGGGTGCCATGGAACTTGTCGGTGTGCATGTCCACCATCAAACTCTCAAGTTGCGAGCTGTGCGGCAGTTTATCGGTATAACACGAGACCGAAAATCCTGAAGAAATCTCTTCGGTGCCTTCAATAGACGTTCATCCCGGAGCAAAAAAGCGAGGCCCAAGAAGGAAGAACGCGCTCCCGTCATGGCTTTCTTTGGGGAAATGGTCCAACGTGGCACGATGCTGCACGACACTACGCTTCCGCCTCTTGTCGCCGAGCATTGCGTTTGGCTGCGGCCTGACAGTTCGAGTGTCGTGGTCGGGTGTCGGGCTACCTCTGAATGCCATGTGAACCCACAACCCCAGTTTGATGCACTGCGATACACGCACAGAAATTGCTGCCTAACGCTCACAGCCTCTGCAAACCCTCGCCTCGCGCCGTGCTTGCTGCACCGACTGCAACTGAGCTTCACATTGCCTTTTGAGTGCCTCGCCAGAGTTGCTAGGAGCGCAAGGCGTCATGGTAAGTGCTATAGGGAGAAGCCTTGTGCTTAGGAACTCCGGTGTGGAGCCCAGCTCGCAAGTCTTTAGAGTCTTCCGCGCTGCTACAAGTACATTCGCCTGGGTCTTGTCCTCCTGCTTCCGACACCTGCCATATGCTACGTCCGCAGGAGTCCGTGCTAGGCTACACTCTCTAATGGCAGCTCAACGGACCCATGGCTGAGCGGAGTGCCTCAGCTCCTGCATGATCTGAAGTTCGGCCTGCCCGGCGGGGACACGAATAGACAAGAGCAAAACTCTAAGGACAAGGCCTAGAGACATCCGATAGCAGCCTCGAAGCTCGAAATCAAACACCCGACCAGCCGTTAGCACAGCCTACCTGCTCAACGTTAACGTCTCCGATGCCTAGTTTTCCTCAGAAGTGCGCATGAGTCAGCGGACAGCAGGCCCAAGGTATGTCCAGTCCGGAAGCTTCTGAGGATGAAAGGAAGGCAGTTCCAACACAACAGACGTCAGTCTGAGTACTGAGTAAAGCTGAAATCAGCAATCCACACGTGCTGTGACGGATGAACCAAGGCATTGCGAAACCCGCGACACTCGTCAGCCCCTACCTGCGTCACCGTGATAGTCCAAACTCCTAACCCTCATCCTCATCACACGATCGTCATCATCAGCAGCAGCACAGCCTACAGCTAGCAATGTGGCCGCGCCTGCTTCTCTGCCATGTAGATTGCTCGCTGCTCGAGCTTGGATACGCGTTCTGCCTCCACCTGTCGGGCTCCACGAGGCACTGACCTGCTTGGCTACTATCCTACCTCACGGCCAAAACCATTATCGCACCATTCATCAGATGGATACTGAACTCCTATCCGGCCCACACCATAATGAGGAGACCAGCAGTGCAATTCTAGAAGCAACACTCAGGCTCCACGTTGCAATTCTTCAAGCACAAAGCTGAGGCACAACAGACCAACAAAGCCCGACGTGACTACAACAGCCCAGCTTGGTTCGAAGCACCGCGTCTCCGCTCCTCCCGGAGGTCTCGACGTGGAGTGTCCGAGGTCATGGCGTCAGTGCCCGGCTCCGAGCCGGGCTTGGGTTCGGCAATATGTCAAAGAGTGGAACCCTCGCACGGGGACGAAAGAGCCCTCCTCCTGCAAGCTGTGGTGAGGAATCTCAACCATGCCTGGTAAGAAGTGAGAAGGAAAGCATAAGCCCTGAACGGCACGCAGGCCTCCAACAGCTTCCATGAGAATGCTTCAGAACTTTATACTATCGCCAGATTGCTCACCATGAAACCACTGTTTTGCTCCATGTCAACTAGCCGTAGCTGCTCGAATTCATGGCAGTGTCGGTCGCGGATGTGCTCTGAGCCACAGGCCTCACAGATAAAGTAAAGTTCAGACTGTATCTCCAAGGGCTCATCTGCAACGGGGACAATACCCCCCCAAGCGGAAACCGGAAGACTCAAAGGAGCCCGGGAGTTTGCCGGGCCCCTTCCAAGCGATGCATCGGCCGAGAGTCCCTGTGAAAGCCGATCGCTTCTTGCTTTAAGGCTCTGTGGTGAGGCTAGCAGGATAGCCTAACACTTCTCCTTACACCACGTCGGATAGCTGCCTCGATATGACTCGGTCCCCCCGCCAGCTTGCCACGAATGACGTCCATGAACGTCACTATTTCAGAGCACTGCGCCTCCAAGCACTTGGCTCAAGCGGCTCAAACGTGTTTGAACTCCTGTAGATCTGCGCACAAGGTTGAATTGGCGATTGGTTTAAGTCATCAGAGCCATAATTCATACCCCCAAAGGAGGAACACTCTTCGATAAGGCCTGTGGCAGCGGCGGTGCTGTTGTTACGAAGTACCAAACTCCTCAGCACCAGCACGTCAAGCAGAGACCAGTAAGGCGCCAGAGAGAACGCACAAGCACTTCTTGGCAAGGGCTTCTTTCGTTTTGGCAATTCGCAGGGTCCTGCTGGGTCTTGATGGGCAGGGCAATAATGCGGCAGCGGCTCTGTTGGCACGCTGCCGGCTTCCCTCCAGCCCTGCTGGAAGAATGCAACGGACTGTGTCCTCGCTTGCGGTAGGGCCTTTCAGAGGGGCCGTGCCCTGTAACTAAAGATGCACACCGTCAATGACGAGATCGAGGTGTGGTTGCGTGGAACAAAAATTGGCCAAACATGCTGCCCCATGCAACAACGTGCTGTCAGTATCAAAGCAAAAGACATTCACCAGTGCACAATTGCCTCCTTGGCGCGCCTACACTCGAGCATTTCTATCTTCGCCAGATAAGTAGCGGGGATACATCGCTTGGAGGACAGCTCGGATGTTGCATAGAGGCTTGGCGTTGCTCTGTACAGCAGTGCGATGCGGCGAGTGAGATCTGGAACGCCATCACGCGAGGCGTGCAGCAGCGGAGTCTGTGACAGCTCCAGCCGCCATCGCTAGGATCGAGGATGCGGAAGAGCTCTTCCCCCCACTGAGCAACATATCCTACAGCAACTTGCCTTTGCATAGGGCAGAGAGCACCTTTGGAAGCCTAGCGATTCCCAGCAAATGAATCGGAATTGCTCCGGGAGCCTCAGCCCTCGAGTCTCGGGCTCCATTAAAGCTCTCGGGTAGGGCTTGTGCATGGCATACCCGGTTTACTCATAGTTTACTCTATAACAGGAGTTCTTGTCCATCATTTTATCAGAGTGGTACTCCTCGTTTTCGTTTATGTTGACTGGTGATTCGATGATGGGTAGTATGATCCTTTGCTACGGCTACCTGGAAAACCCGCTCTCAACGTTTACTGTTCTCTTGCGGGGTCAGAGTGTTACCAACTGAGGGCAGCCCTACAAACTTTCAGAAGCCTTGCGCCCTTGCTTGTGGCCGCAGGCCAAGACCTCTCACATGAAGAATGTGTCGCTCTCAGACACCCTCTCCGAATCTCGATGGCATGGGGTAGCGCAGGCCTCAATCAGCCACGAAGGCGCAAGCATCTGCCGGGCCAATTCGGAAGCCGTTTTCGCTCGGTAGTTCTGGATGTCTACTCGGGCTCCAGCTGAGAGCAGGGAGGACATGGCTTCCAGGGAACCGCTCAGAATGCTGAACATCAGCGGAGTAGCATCGTAATGATGGTACGCCAGCAAAGTCAGTCTGGACGGGCTTATCCGATGCCTCAAACTCATGCAGTTCATGAGAAGCCACCATCCGGTCTCCCGGAGCTGTACCCGGAACTGTTCATTCACATTCGCGCGAGCCTCGAGCAGAACTGATATCCTTTCTGCAGAACCCGACCCACCCATCATCAATGCGATGTGTAAGCTATGTCGCAAGCTCAAACTCGGATTTTGAATGAGCATCTCCTTCATAGCATAGACGCTACTACACCCGCAAGCGACCAGAAAAGGGTTGAGCCCAAGCCAATCGTGTTGGTTCGGATCAGCCCCGGCTTGGCAGAAGAGACGTACTGCACTCGGGTTGTCTCCCAAACATGCCATGTGGAGAGCGTTGCCCCCGAAACCGTCCGTATTGTTCACCTCTGCTTTGGCGGACAGAAGAAGCTCCATAGCCTCGTTGTTGCGAAAGAACGCAGCAATTCCGAGTGGAGTAATTTTCTTGACGAGATGTAGCTCCTTGTTCGTCTTGGTGGTTACGGCATTGACATCCACCTTTCGGTCAAGAAGCGCTTGCAGCACCACGAGATTGTTGCTCATTGCTGCAAAGCAAATGGGCGGCCATCCTGCATCATCCCGATCGAAGACGTTCCTGACGCGGCTGAACCCGAAAGCTATCAAAGATATATTGAATCGTTAGAGTTGCGGATCTGGGAGCAGAGGGTGGTGGGTCTACGCTCCTGAAGCCGTTCTGATGCAGGAACCAGTCCAGCATGAAGCCCTGAGAGTCAACAGTCGGGTCGGTCTCAGTGTGGAATCCCGGAACAAGGCTGTCAATCGGCTCTACGTCGAGAGCTCGGAAGAAGCGCGCATTTTGCGAATTGAACAGGAAGCGATAGTTGTGAAATTCTCGGCGCTCCAGGTAATGAAAAAGCTTGGACCAAACCATCTGGGTGACCATGCCGCCGATCCTTTCTCTGTCCGTTTCCACTGTAAACTCTCCCTCGCCAGGTGCATACAGCATTTTGCTCCCTGCCCACATCAGTGTCTGGTGCGTCGCGCTCTCTACCACGATGATGTAGCCACCCTTGCGAGTCGAGAGTTCGCGTGCAACTCTCTCTGTCCGACACCACCTAGGACTGTGGAATGAGGGACCGGTGGAACCTATGCCATGTTAAAACTTTTATCGTCAAACGAACAGGGCACCATTCCAACCAGGTTGCCCCCGTTCGCCCCAGGTTGAATGGCTCAGAGTTCGCTGCTGGTCTCTGTGCTTGAAAGCCGGGCACAGCACGACAAAAAACTCGCATCTTGCCACATAGGCCGGGATACTTTGGATGGCGCTCTGGCGGCTCCGAGATGCCCGGTGACCGCTGTCCTGCGGGATGCTGAAGTAATCGTACCAAACATGAAGATGATCGGAGGCGAAGTCGTCGGCAGTAGGGCAGCTTGATCGTCCATGAAAGATCTCAGCGACTATCGGGAGATTCACACGGCTCTTCCCTGAAGCAATGTTTATCAGCGCATCCTGCAATACTTTCAGCTGCTCGAAGTTTGGATCAGGGTGCGTCTCGCTCAGCCACTGGTGCGAAACGAACATTGCCTTTCCCATGCTCTCATCAAACTCTGTGAGCACACCTGCTTCCTTCAGCTCCTCGTGCGTCTTGATTTCTGTCAGCTGCAAGAAAGCGTCGGCCGGCACGGTGTACATGACAAAGATCATCTCGCCTCACTCATGCTGCAGAGCGAGACGATGCAACTGAAGCTTCGACAACGAGCTCTGCCACACTAGGCCCCAAACGCCCTCCCCCGCCAACATCGCCCAGTCACTGGAATGGAGGATTGAAGGCCGTTTAGAGCCCTGCCGTCGCAGGGACGCTGCAAACTGCTCCAGTGGCAAGCTCTCCATGGCGCCTCCCACCTGAACAGCTGAGGACAGTTTGGGCTGCTGAGTTGCTGAGTTGCTGAGTTGCTGCTTGCTGTGGCTCTGGCGGGTTTCGGCATCTACTTTGGGCCACACATCTTTGAGCCGGAGTGCTCGGCAGGAAGAAGATCCGTAAATGCTGGCACACTCATTGAAATGTCTCAGGAGGGCTCCGGCAGCCGCTGCCACCATGAAGGCCAGGTAGAGCACCAGACTCTGCCTGGAGAACCCCAAAATGCAGCCGTGGACGACGACGAGGTGGTGATGATGGTGACACTGTGACTGTAGAAAAGAATGGTGGAGGGAAGCAAGACTAGGCGACATGAAATCTGAAAAACATGAATGACAATCGAGATCAACGGCTGAAACAAAGTTTCTCTTATGTGTACTTGCGATCCTTTTGCCGACGAGGTACTCGTGAAAGCGGAATGAAGCGCATCTTTGGAAGTTGCAAAACAAATCCGGAAAAAGAGGTGCAGCGTCTAATTCCGTCAAACATCGTCACGCCACAATGCTCGAGGGCTCTCTTCATCTTCTCCAGTTCGCGTTGGTCAAGGTATTCTATGTACTGCAAGGGTTTCTTGCAAGAGTGCCACAGCACTCATTGCCTCTGGCCTGAATACCTGGTGCTGAACCTGTCCCGTCAAAAAATGCCATGGCAGCTGATGGCTCCTAGTTACTTAGCACTTAGTTGCCATAGGCGAAAGAGAAGCATTCCAGAAGCCTCTGTAACCAGAGTGGAAAATGTCACACCCCAATTCCCTGCGCACCCGAGCGAGAGCGCCATTGCGCTGCAAAGTGATGGCACAGCGCAGCGCTGGGAGGTTCGGGGTTCGGATTCGAGGCTTAGACAACCTCGGGTTTGAGGTACGAGTCAGAACGTTGGTTAGACCAAAGTATGCTCGATGCGTCAAGCTTGTTGAGTCAGATTCTGAATGCTGTGCTGGCTTCTTTTGTGTATGTCTAAGCTTGCTGGTGAGGCGTACGAGGTCTCTCCCTCTATCCCTCTACACTCACGGTCCAAATCGGTCCAACTCGAAATGTCAATGTCCAGGCTGACCGAGGCGACCTCTAACATGCAGCTTGTGGAAGGCTCGACCATGGCACTGCCAAGATTTGCTGCTTAAGATCTGCGGTGGGTCGAGGGCTACCTGCGCTACACAAGTCTGACCGAGCTGTCCATCTTTTCGTTTTCGTGCGAGGACATGCTTCAAAGTGCCTCAGCAACCTTTCCTTCGTGCTCTACTGCCATCGCCTGCTTCAAGATCCTCGCATCATTTTGACCTTCTTCGCGCCACTGCCTTGCTCCGTCTCGGTCACGGTAATGAGGCATCGATTCAGAGCTTTGCTGCAGCGCCCAGCAGGTGCCAGCCTGGAATTAGCGAGTTAAGGCAGCTTACCATCCAAGCTTACACAAACACCGACAAACACGGCAAAGCACCGGATTCTACATCTTCCGCTCTATCAAACTCTCCAACTTGTTCGTGCCAGGAGGTCTGGCGAACTGGTTAGACGCTCACTTGCAATACATCAGTCAGAAAACACAAGCACGGGGCTGTCTTTCAACAGTCACCGCTGGATGCTTTCTTAGTCTAGCACACTTCTCCAAGCACTACCATATTGAAAGCAGAAAAACAACAAATGCCTCGCCGCCTTGCTGCTGCCATCGATGTTCTTCGCTGCTCTGGTTCTCCGAAGCTGCTCCATCTCTCTCCTATCCTTCCTGGGAGGCATAGACCCTCTCTCTGTCACTCACTCGGTCAATCGCTCGCAAGAGGTTGGGTTCCCCCGACTTCATTAGCTTTTGGACATGAACACACCTGGCTAACCTCACTCGGCCTTTGCTCGGAGCTCGTCCTGTCCCAGAGACCAGTCACAGAACCTAGCGACTAACCCACGTCCAAGCTCGCAGTGTCGCTGGCCGTCTTGCACTGCTGTGCCGGTTGGGAGCCCCTACCTGCGACCCTCCGGCCTGTTGCCCTCTGAGAGAGAGAGATGGAGGGAGAGAAAGAGAGAGAGAGAGAGGCTCTAGCCACCAACCAAACGCTTGACATTATGCCTCACCGTGGTGCGCAAATCTCAACTGCTGTTGCTACATACTTCCGCACATGCAATGGACTTGCTTCAGGTTACTCGGTGTCTGTATAGCATATCTGTGTAAACACATCTGCACACGCCTCTACCATCTGATACTTTGCTAGCTGGAGGTCCTTAGATGATGTGATGCATAACGGTATAGGTACTATCTTCTTCCATGATCGTGTGCATGTTGCTGCTGACAACCAAAACTCCAAAACTACTGGAATGTATGTGTGTGCATGTACATTCAAGTGTTAAACCGCCATGGATCCACCGATCTCGTGCATAGCCATGTACATGTGTATATACAGGTACATCTTTCATGTATGTGTATATACATACATATACATATATGTATAATATATATATATATGTAGATATACATATACACAGATGCATACATATATGTATATATACGCATACATCGAATCTTATCAAACGACTCATATCTATGTTCATGTTGCTCGGATTACACCTTGATTGAATACATGTGTTTGCACCATTGGACCATACATCCGCTCATGTGGCGTTAAATGCGGCTGCATACCGTGTTTTCACTCCATTTGCCGCTGAGCAGTGAGAACCAGTTACGCCTTTAGGCACGCAGGCATAGGCTGGCATAGGCTGGCATAGGCTGGCATAGGCTGGCATAGGCTGGCATAGACGTCATGAAAATAGGCCGACTTCCATTCAGCAAGCGGGCCGTGGAATCTTTGAAGGCACACTTCTCACTTCTCGCTTACACGAGAAGCATGTGATGCTCAGAATTTCGTGAGAATGATTCGGTCCGATACGGCTCTGTTCCAGTGGACAGTTATGCCCATGGAACACACACACACACACACACACACATTCAGCGATACTGCTCTTCGGAATAGATAGCATTCGATAGACAGGGCACAGGAATGCTGCAGTCGTATCTGATTGAAACAGGGGATGGCTGCTCAGCGAGTTTGATGGCTGTCCAGCTTGTGACACAACAAGTCATTGGCTCATGGTTAGTTGCAATGATTGAAAGCATGCCGAGACGGCATCACGGACTGGAAATCCATCAATCGGGAACCGCCCAAAATAGAACCGACCTGGTGAGACTAGGACAAGGCTTGGTCGTGGGCCAAGACCTCTCAGATGAAGAAAGTGTCGCCCTCAGACATGCTCTCAGAGATTTGCTGGCTTTCCGTAGAGCAAGCCTCAATCAACCACGAAGGCGCCAGCATCTGGCGGGCCAATTCGGAAGCCGTTTTCGTGCGGTAGTTCCGAATGTCTACTCGGGCTCCGGCTGAGAGCAGGGAGAATACATGATCCAGAGAACCACTCAGAATGCTGAACATCAGCGGAGTAGCGTCGTAATGGTGATATGCCAACAAAGTCAGTCTGGACGGACTCACCCGATGCCTCAAGCCCATGGCATTCATTAGAAGCCACCATCCAGGCTCCCGGATCTGTACCCGGAACTGTTCATTTACGTTCGCCCGAGCCTCAAGCAAAACCGAGACCAAGTCGGTCGAGCCGCCTCCAGCGAACATGAGTGCGATGTGTAAGCAGTGTCGCAAGCTCAAACCAGGATTCAATTTAAGCATCTCCTTCATTGCATGCCCACTTCCACATGCACAGGACACCATGAAAGGGCTCAGCCCCGGCATGCTTTCTTGATTGATGTCGGCACGAGCACGGCATAGTAGACGTACTCCGAGAGGGTTGTCCCCTGCACACGCCACATGGAGAGCATTGCCCCCGAAACCATCCTTGTAGTTCACCAGGGCTCTTGAGAACAGGAGAAGCTCGACTGCTTCATTGTTGCGAAAAAAAGAAGCCATTCCGAGAGCCGTCATTTTGGCTGGAAGATTGACCTCTGCTTTGGGTTTGGTCGTGGCCTGGTTGATATCCACCTTTCGATCAAGAAGTGCTTGCAGCACCACGAGGTTGTTGCTCATCGCTGCGAAGCAAATGGGTGGCCACCCTGCAGCATCCCGCTCGAAGATGTTCCTGACGGAGTTAGACATGACTTTCTCCTCTGACTGGCTGAAAACTGACCGTTTAACTGTACTAGGTATGCATTCTTCACTCTCGCGAGTTTAGGTGCAAGGGATTTTGGGCTTCTACACGCCTGAAGCCGTTCTGATGCAGGAAACGATCCAGCATGAAGCCCTTAGAGTCAACACTCGGGTCGGTCTGAGTGCGGAATCCGGGAATGAGTCCGTCGATGGGCTCCGCATCGAGAGCTCGGAAATACAGCGCAGCTTGCGAGTTGAGAAGGAATCGATAGTTGTGAAACTCTCGATGTTCGAGGTAATGGTAAAGCTTGGACCAGACCATCTGAGTAACCATACGACCGATACCGACCCTGTCAACATCCAATGTAAAGTCTCCTTCTCCCGGTGCATCACTCATCCTGTTTCCTGCCCACATCAGTGTCTGGTGTGTCGCGCTCTCTACAATGATGACGTAGCCACCCTTGCGAGTCGAGAGTTCGCGTGCAACTCTCTCTGTGCGACACCACCTAGGACTGTGGAATGAAGGACCGGTGGAACCTATGCCATGTTAAAACTTTTATCGTCAAACGAACAGGGCACCATTCCAACCAGGCTGCCCCCGTTCGCCCCAGGTTGAATGGCTCAGAGTTCGCTGCTGGTCTCTGTGCTTGAAAGCCGGGCACAGCACGACAAAAAACTCGCATCTTGCCACATAGGCCGGGATACTTTGGATGGCGCTCTGGCGGCTCCGAGATGCCCGGTGACTGCTGCTCTGCGGGATGCTGAAGTAATCGTACCAAACATGAAGATGGTCGGAGGCAAAGTCGTCGGCAGTAGGGCATCTTCTGCGACCATTCAGGATTTCTGTAATGATGGGCAGATCTATTTTACTGGCTCCAGCAACAATGTTCTTGAGGGCATCTTGCAATACTTTCAGCTGCTCGAAGTTCGGATCAGGGTGCACGTCACTCAACCACTGGTGCGACACGAACATTGCCTTTCCCATGCTCTCGTCAAACTCTGTGAGCACACCCGCGTCTGCCAGCTCCTCGTGCATCTTGATTTCGGTCATCTTCAAGAAGGCAGCAGCCGGCACGGTGTACATCACAAAAGTGACATGGCCTAAGCTTCAAACGCCCGCCTCTGCCCAGCTGAACCACTTCTATGTCCAACAAGCTTACTACAGGTAGGTGCTTCAGCTACTGGCATAGCCCGTGCTGGCAGACAGCTTCCGTGGGGTCACCTATGAGCATCTGCCACCCTGGAACCCTGCACAGCACCAAGTCGCCCGAACTGTCGTCTGAAGTCGTTTTCGAGCTGTGCTTGCGCAGCGACGACGCAAAACGCACGAGAGGCACGCTATCCATGGCAACAACACAGAGTAACGGCTTCCGTGCCGAGAATGTGCTAGCCTCCTACCGACGCAGGTGGTGGCCCGTCTGAAATGTGCAGCACTGAGTCACGGGCTTGACAATTTGCATTGTAAGGGGATTTTAACTTCCGCCACACCCACTAGGCACCTCGGCGCGAAGGCTTGGACCTCTGCTTCCATCGTCTGCAGGCAAGCCACCATGCGCTTCGCAGGCACTGCTCTTGGCGAAGCGGTTAAGTCTGCTGTGGACGGCTTCGCCGAGACAGCGAGCGTTGACTACTCGTGACACGTTGTCATGGGCCAGCTCAGTGCTGCCGATGCATTGGCATGCACGACAATAGCTTCCGTGAGTGACTCTCATTCCCTCGCCCCGTTACAAGCTGTGCTCGTTTGGGGCTAACATGAGTTTCCGTTCACGAGATCATCATGTCTGTGAGTGTCTGCCCATCAGAACACTTAAGCCCCTCTGCACAAGCGTAGGGAGCAGCTTCGACTCGAGGGACATCCGAGACCAAGCACGTTTTCTGCAGCAACATGTTCTAGGACAGCGCTTCCAGGACATGCTCGTTGAGCCTTACCCACGGCAACTTTCTCAGGACACATGTCAATCCCGCAGCTTCGTTTTGATCGGGTGCCATGACCTGCGTTTGCAGAAGCCAGGCAAGAGTTTCCAACCGGCGAACTCGCTGGGTCGCCTTTTGGCGATAACTCGGACATCTCGACTGCATAACATCGTGCGCAGGTCCGTCAAGAGTGCTTCTTGGTACCATTGGTACCATTCCTCGCGTGGTACTTCTCGGTGATGCAAAAGGCGTAGATCCCGAGCTTCGCTTTGATCTGCTCCACAACAGACAGCAACCACCACAGAAGCCAAAGCCCAAAAGCCTGCGTTCAGCTGCGGAGAATCCGCTGCACATAGAACACAATTTCTAAAGGTATCCATTTGGGCTCCCTGCCGCGGTAAAGCAGCAGAGCACTGGCCGAGAGAACTCCAAGGGTAAAGCCCAGGAGGCAATCAGAGCGCTGACCTGGGCCACACAAGCGTCGAGCACAAGCAAGAATACCAGCTCGTTAGAGTCAGAGTCCTAGAGCAGCCGGAAGCTGGATCGGTAAGCTGGCCACGTACAGGAGCAGGGACCACTGGAGCCATGGAAACTCTGTCCTGGAAATGCTGCGCCACAAAAGCTGAGAGCTGGTGTATTCGACTGGATGTGATCAGAAGGGCATGGGAAGGACCGAGTCTAGCAACAGGTCCCGGCCATGGTGAAGACAATCATCTGCCTTTGCACGGTAATATCCAGGGCTGGCAGCTGTTCATGTGCTATATTACTATATGTTACATCTACACTTGGAACTCTACTGGACTCTGGCATCTGGCGATGTCAAAGACCAATCAAAGACTTATGCCTCTGCATCCCAACTGTGAACCACCGCTTACTTTCTGCAGCCACGCTTCACGTTCATCCAGAAGATTGACCTTCAGAGCACCAAACCTTCTCATGCTCTCCTGTTATTTTCAGAACCGAATGCTTAACCTCCCTTGGAGTAATGTCAATGCAAACACTCGCGGCATCAAGATAGTTCAGTGACCTACTGGGACCTCTTGTAAATCTTGTCGGCTACCACAGCAGGAGCCGAATGCTATCGACGCGCTTGGGACGCACGGCACACAGACACTACAGCAGCATGTGAAGGAAGCCAAGCAGCAGGCCCGTGAAGAGGCTGATCATTCGCCCTGCAGCTGCGACCAAACCAGGATGCCAAAGCCCAAGCAGCACGTTCAACAGTAGGACGGGAAGGAGGTCCTTCGGTAAAGCCGGAGATGCGTGAACAACGCGCAGATACTTGGATGGGGCCACGCATGTCAGCTACCCCAGTCCACACATTCAGCCGGATTGAGAATGGCGCCGTCAGCAATAGCAATTGATGACAGTGGCCGTGCGGTGCGGTTGCACATCGCTCGTCCCTAAAAATCTGCGTGCCCGTGTCAACATGCTACCCGCAATTCCGGGCACACCAAGAAGCAAACACGATGTCGTGGAATGCCTGTTTGCCATCCCGCATGCGATCTGTTCAGCTCTTAACACTGCAACCGCAACCGAGTTGTCCGGATTTCGCAAGATTCGAAAAAGCTCCGGCAGGTGCAAGACACTACCTGTGCCACAGCATTGGGACCAGTTGCACTCGACATTGAAGGTTTGCCGGCCTGGAAAGCTGAAAGCCGTTTCCTTGGCACGCCCCTTTCTACTTGGGGCCAGAATAGGTGTCCAAGTTCTCGCGATAGCAGGCGATGCGGGTGCGGCCGGACCACTTGCGATTCTGAACGTATCCCCAATCCGATGACTTTGCATGCTACGAGGATCTTTGTCGTTCCTACCGCCTTTGCTTCCGGGGGGTTTCTGGAGTGTGTACCTCAGAGGGGCTGCAGCAAGCCCATAACACTTCATCCTGTCCAAAGCCACCAGTCCTTCAGTGCGGACACGCCCGCATTTCCCCTGCTGGCACACACGGTGCCCATGGCTCTGACCTGGGCTGACCCAAAGGCATGATCCAAAGTGCCCAACAGAAGAGACGACAGCGAAATAAGTCAAACATAGTCAAACCACTCTACTGCAGAGCCAAGCCACAATGCAGAACAAGGCCATCGCAAGGGATTGGAGCAACCAAGCCTGCGGAGGACTGAGACACCGGTTGTGTTTCCACTTGAACTGCCGAACTTCGGAGTCTGCATGTCATGAAGTTTCATTGTGCCCTGCATCGCTGTAGATATGCTATTCGATGACTGTGAAATTTCGACGAGGATGTGATGAAAAACGGGGGGGCGAAACTTCTGCCTTCACGATCAGAATCCGAACAGTCTCCGATGCCCAGGGCAGCTCCACGGTCGTTGTCATCCATCTCTGCCACACCTGCAAACGACAGTTCCGGGTTCGGACGACCGGCAAAAAGCACAGCCGTAGTCCCAAAGTCGTAGCTAGAAGTGGTGCGAAATCCGAAATGCCATGGCATCAGAGGCCTCAAGGCTCTTCCATCTCGCATGTGCACGGACGGGCGGAGAGGCCTCTGGGCCGACGACGGCCGTCAGAAGAATCGGTGACATCAGCACGTACTGCAGCTCCGTGACGCCAATCTGCGATGTGGAGAGCAGATTTCCCACTTCACATGTCTACGCGACAAGTGCGGCTTCAGCTCCAGAGGTCCGTGTAAGCGACAGCCGGGCGCATTGCAGGGCTCATCTGCTCAGGTTCAGGCAGGACCCAGACTGGTCGGAAAGAAGCCCGCATGGCGGTCCTGGCGAACAAAGCAGAGGACTCGGGAATGTGAGAGCGAGATGCTCTAAAGAACCGTGGCGGGAGCGGTCGTGCCAAGCAGCCAGAAAAATGGGCGTCCTCCCGAAGTCAGAAAGAGGAGTTCCGCATCCGCTAGCCGAGAAAAGGCTGAACCGAGGCCCAGGCTGGATAGACCGCATGCACTGGAAAACGAAGTGCATGTCGGCAGGCATCAGGATCATCACCAGCGCAGCATGCTGCCGCAAAAATTGAGTTCGTGAGGCTTCCAAAAAGTTCCGTACGAAGCACCAGATCCTGCCTGAGACATGCCAGTGAGGCAGTCACAGCCGTGATCCACCAGGTGGCCCAAGGGAGTGGAGGAGCCAGTTCGCCGGGCCTTTCGAGGGGTCAGAAGAGGACTTGCAAAGCTGCCAGAGGGAGACGGGTAGCTATTGCCTGCTTGCCATCCACTGCATCCATGGTCTGGTAAAAATAGAGCGCACCGACGTAGCTCAAGGCCAGCCATCGGGGCCTCAGCACCCGGAAGCCAGGAAAGCAGCCGAAACCCCAAAAGGAATCCTGAAGTCCCCGGCGGTGCTTCATCACAAGAGGGACAGGTAAACCAGGAGAGAATGTAGACCAAGACCAGGGGCGTGAAGCCAATGAAAGTGATCTGCGAGGTTGGGGCTTGAGATTCTGGCACCGTCCAGATTCAGAACGGGTAGAGTCACATGGTTGAGTGCTGGGACAGCCAGCACCAGCATTACTGAGGTGTCCAGAAGTAGTTGCTCAAACTGTTTCGGAAAGATCGGCGTGCCGCAAGGTGCTGCTCCACGCGCGTACAGCCACAATACATGTCATAATCGAGCGACTACACTACAGTTCTGACGCAAACTACTTCAGTGCTTGGTCTTCTGGGATATAAACATAATGAGATCCTCTTTACTACGACTGACCACCACGATTGCGACTGTCGTTGGTACACGAACGGCAAGGGAAAACACTGAGTGCCCGGCCGCATTCGGAGCGAGCCACTTAGGCAAGGCCTGCACAACTCAACAGCAAGTTGCTCCGGAATGCTGCCTTGTTTGGACTTGCACAACACCGACAAAAGAACTTGCGGGTCCCTTACCTCACAGAGCACGGTATCAGGTGTCGCGAGTAATTCGGCTGCAGGCCTCGGCGATTCCCTGCCATAGGTGGCTCAAGACATAGTCCAACGCTGTGTAGTGTCCAGGTCGGTACCTAAGTACAATGCAGCTTGGGCCCATCTAAAATGATGCAAACAGCCTTTAAGACCCTACATGTAGCATCCTAGGTCCTGGATCGACACCTGGAAAAGGCCTGCGGTGCTACGTTGTTACAACATGGCAGCTGCTTTTATTCCCAACGACTTGTGCGCGGCGATATGGTCTAGATTCTCCTCCGTCAGAACCGGAAGCACCCAGGCCATGGCGGCGCTCG